CTACTACTACTACGACTACTACCTTTTGCTGCTTTTACCACCACTACCAGCTTTTGCTGCAACCATGAGGCCGACTCTTGCCAAAATTTGGACACCTCTACTGAGTCTACTGCAACTTCTATACCGAGCAATACTCTCAGGTAGTGCCCTGACCCATACACCAGGAGCAACAACGAGGTCGAGCGTGGGGAATCGAGAAATGGGCACTTGTAAGGCCGAGGGTGCCTGAGATATGGGAGAGCCTCGGGTTCCCCACTCCACGCTGCACATGCCAGCCGCAAAAAAGCTTCGTCAGTGGACGTCAGTGGTGCAATTAGTCCAAGCACGCTGTTTTTTTAGGAGGTGGAGAATTGCCAGCTGATCGCTCGGAATACCAAATGTAAGCCTAAGCCCGGAGGGCTAGACTTCCGAATTCTTGCGAGCTAATGATGCCCATGTGGGCGGGGGGGGGGGGGGGGGGNNTCGGGAAGTGGAAGGATCTGTTTTCTTGGCTAACGCATGGCCGTCATGCTAGGTTCTACTAATTGAAAGGGGGCTGGAAGGAGCACGATGACATACGGGTCATGGTAAGCACGATATACGGCTGCCCGAGACCACTGTCATTTGCAGTGCCTTCTTACGATGCGTCAAGTGTCTTCTTGTCAACTTACCGTACTTTCAACATGGTGATCATCTGCGCGTCCTCATCGTCTGGATTATCGTAAAATATGCTCCGTTGTACTTCGTGGGTTAGCAGAAAGCAACAGTCGTCAAGCTCGAAGGAACTTTGCTCCGAGAAATGTGCTCCATCGTCGTCGTGCCGCATGCGTAAGATACTCTTATGAATCAAATGTGTCAGTAAACTCCAAACCCTAAACCCCAAGACGATCTTGAAACACTACGCCACTAAGCCGTCACTGAGCCTCATGATTGCCGTTGGCTCGAGATTTGCTTTGCATTGCAGTATGCATGTTTCAAAACACGTCACTTTGCAAGATCGTGCGTAGTAAGCCGGTTTTGAATTAGGGTACTTGCGCTGAAAGCTAAATACTTGGAACTCAATGGGGGGGGTACGTATACTTATGGAACTAACCCCTAACCTTGGCTTGGTCATAGGAATGGTGGGCACCCTTTGGCTCGTCCTGTTTGCGCTGCCAATCAAGCTTGCAATCTCGGAGTTCGAGGGTTGCGAAGCTACAGTGGCGCACTGCATCGTGGGGCACGTGCGGAGCTTCACTCAAAGAGACTGGGCCCAGTCTTGGCCCTAACCCTAGACCCTAAACCCTAAACTCTAAACCCTAAACCCTAACTGTCCTGTCTTGACTTCAGATAGCAGCTAGGACCGCTAGGATCTAAGTAGGGCAGCTCCGGTGATGTCTCTAAGAAATATTGTGGGCACTGCAAGGGCGATTGCCCGTGTCCAGTTCGCTGAGGAGATGTCTACAGCTCAATACATGAAACACTGGCATCTCGTGCTTCGCCTTTGAAGTGCGCTCGTTTCTTTTATGTGCTGGGCATGTCCTCCGAGTCTGACACCTCCAAGGGTGGGAGATATGACTTCGAGGTCGCGACTCTCAGAGCTACGGCCTGGCAACTGATGCCTCCTACAGACTTCATCTTGGACCCGGCCATTCCCAGAATTCAGAGGAATGCCTCTTTTCACCATCCTGGCTGCCTGTTCCAATGTGTGCACATGTTCGACAAGGTCCGTGAGTGCTTCGCTTTGGTCAAGAAGTTCGAGGAAGACACCGGTCATGCATTCTCTTGGATTGTGCGGAGTCGACCGGATCTGAAGTGGCACGCCGACAAAACGGAGCTGCCTGCCTTGCACCAGCTTCCCCTTTCGGCCGTGTATTTTGCTGAGCTTGTGAAGGCACCAGGAGGCATTTTCCGAGACCCGGTGCAAATCGTGCCTCGGAGGTTTGCTGAGGATATCTTTGACCGAATCCTGGACCGATGTCTCTTGAGGCAGAACTTGCGCGATGATGACGTTTGGAATTGTGACACCTGGATGGTCCAGCTCTGTGAGGAAAGGAATATTGCCATCCGATATCTGCGACTCTACGCAGTGATCGAAAGATTGCCAAGTATCTTAGTGGCTGAGTAGGTAACCTTTAACCTTTTGGGGCTCTTAATTTTTACTATAATTCAAAAGGTTAACCTTTTGGGTACTCAGCCCCTAAGGTATCGAGGATAGCTTTCATACCTATCACGACCAATGGAGCCAGCATGTGAAGAATGCAGAGCTCCTGTTTCCCAACTCTACATTTGTCATAGGAAACGAAGATCAGAAGCATGCCTCTCAGTGGTCGAACATCACCGCAGGTCTTCCTGGAAGAGCATCTGGGCTCTTGTTAAGGATCTTACAAGAATCTTACATGATGCCTTGATAGGGACCTAGAGTAGATAACATGGCTTCCTTATCAGGACAACTTAAAGTAACTTCATTAAGAAGAACCCAGGCATTCGCAGATGTGGGTTGCAACCTGGTGGCTGACTCTCAGTACTGTACGCCTACGAATGCATACCTCATCCACTTGCGCTTGGCTCTTTACGTCCCGGCCGCCAATAGGCAGCAGCAGATCAAGTTTGTGCTCTTCCGAACATATGGCCGCGATATTCGGTTTCAAGGGCGGCATTCAAGGTTTAACGCAAACGCGACCGCGTTTTGGCCGCTGTTTACGCTGCCCTACAATCTGATCGAGCTAGCAAAGGGGGTTCCGTCAGAGAATGCCGGAATTTCTTACAACCTCTTTCGCCCGGTCTTGATGCGAAGAGGCGACTGCATCTTTTGGACAGCCTGCGGTGAAGATGAGACTGAGGCCTTGCCGTCCGAACCCTTGGACTACCCACAGCGGCGTGTAGCTTCACGCTGCTTGATGCGTCGAAGAGTGGAACGGATATATACTCGTAGTAGCGAGCCCATGGGCTCCTTCCAGCCGATCATTTCCAGGCGTGAGCTTCAGAACATTACCCCTCCCCTTGGTTTGGAAACCCTAAACCATCACGGTAAAGTCCTTATCGTGGGGACCCCGACCCGACAACGAGGGAGCCCATAATTTCCCGGACAAAACCCCAGGTATCACAGCGCAGCTTTTACGCTCTTCAAGCAAGTGCCGCCTTTGTGAGGAAGCTTGCGATCGACTTGTTTAGGGTCTGGGGTTCAGGGTTCAGGGTTTGGGGTTTAAGGTTAGGGGTTTAGGGTTCAGGGTTCGGGTTTGGGGTGCAGGGTTCAGGGTTTAGGGTTTGGGGTGCAGGGTTCAGGGTTTTGGGCGGTTCAACTTTTGGGGGCCTTGAACCCTACCTACACTCGGGGCTTGGGAACATTTGGGTTCCCCCTTTATAAGAGGTCTAATAGGGATCATTGTGCCAAGGATCCTGCAAGGTTTAGGGTTTAGGGGTTTAGAGTTTAGGGTTTAGGGGTTTATGGTTTAGGGGTTTAGGATTTAGGATTTAGAGTTTAGGGTTTTGCTTTCAGGCTCCTCTATTTTCTGAAGCCCGACTATGGGCAGTCACAACTCTGCGGGCACCGGGACCTCTTCGAGATAGCGCTGTCGGAGCTTCCAAGGCGAGCGGCACCGAGGACGAGTCCAATAATAATCACCTGTGAATTTCACTATAATCTATATTATTGCTATTGTTATATGTTTGATAATATTAGTGAAATTACTATAATTATAATCGGTGTTGTTATATCCTTTAGATATATTGATAATACCATCATTGTTATTACTTTTATACGTTAAGAATTTAGGGGAATCCTTAATATAATTGTAGTTTAACATACCTCCAAAACTGTATTCTAATTGTTTATTTAGGCCCCTATAGTACAGGAGCAGCGGCTTTACTGCCTGACCCGGCCGTGGAGGTTTCTCTGCAGAGTTGAGCCAAACGGATCCGGAGGCAACTGGAAGGCGTAAGCCTTGAAGCAGGAGTACTTAAAGGATCATGGGACTTAGTAAGTAGGTTTATAATTAAGGTAACTATAGTTGTAACCCTAATTAAAGGACTTATAACCTTATTTACTAAGTCCCATGATCCTCCAAGTAGCTTTGGCAAATCGAGAGAAGAGTGGCCATGCCAGGACTGTTGATGATATAAATCGGTATATTCCTTATTATGGGTACTGCAGAATTTATATCATCAACCGTTTTCATCACGGCGATTACAACATCGAAGGCGACATTGGAGCTGGCCTCTGCAATGTGCGACCGGTTCAAAGGGTAGCATGGCTTGTGGCGCACTTCGGGGGCGACAGGTTTTGAGCTCAAGAACTACAAGGCTCAAGAAGAATGGGTATGCCGTATGCTGCACCACCCCAAACATGAGTATCCTCAGCTTCCTGGCACCTTTGCACTCGGCAGATTTCTATGAGCCTAAACCTGAACCTTAGAACCCTTAGCCCGAATCCCTAACCCCTGAACCATCCCGAACTGTAAAACCATAAGTTTAAGCCCAAAATCTCCAAATCCGAAACCCCAAACCCTGTCGACACCCTACAGCAAATAAACCCCGAACCCTAAAGCCCAAAAGCCCTAAAAATGCGGACTTTCAGCAGACCCACCGTGGTTCAGCGAAGCTTCAGAGCCGCCCAAACCCGGTGACTTCTTCGCCCTCCTATGAACAAATATATCCTAGAAGGGTTTCTGTATACAAAAGTACATAAATTTACATTGACATATGTATCTCTCTCTCTAAATATATTCATACACATGTATAGATGTGTATATGTGCACATGTATGCATGCATGCAAGCATGCATGCATGCATGCATGGATGGATGGATGGATGGATGGATGGATGGATGGATGGATGGATGGATGTATGTGCGTAGGTTCGTGTGTTTGCTTGCTTGCTCGTTTGTTGGGTTGTCTGGT